CCCATTCCGCTCCCATTTTTATTGAATCTGTACCGTTTGGTTGGACTTTAGCTCCAGCTAAGATGGATATGGAGCTAGAGCTCTACCAATCAGGCCTAAATGCACTTTAACTCCCTTTAAACACTAGGTCCAATATGATCGGTACCCCCTAACTATAATACCACATATCTTGACCCTTCATCAACTATTAATTCAACTATCAAAATCGGTGTATTTTGACTTTGAGTGCAGTGTTAACATTTGTGTTCACAGCATCCGAGCCATCATGGAAAAGAAAAAAAATAAGGGGGGGCCCACATGTCATCCTCCCTCTCCCTCTCGTTCCTTCTCTACCTCAATCTCTCGTGTTGGCGATGACATCTAGGATGTTGCTGAGGAAGTAGCTCTCCTCATCCGCCGCATGATGTCGGTGACGACGTCATGCCACTTCTTGAGCTCCAGCACCGCTGCGAAGTAGCCGTACGGTGGCGCATTAATGACGCATCCCATGAACTTAGGAGGCCTCGCCATGTTCGGGCGTGTTGACGTGATGGGAGTGTACTTACACAAGCCAATAGCGACAACCGAACGACGTGATGCACTACATTTCTAGTGGCAAGGAGCCAAGAGACGATGGCATGCACTTGAATCGATCAGAATTGGAGATGTGATCGAGTAGACAGGTGGATTGAATTGTTTAATCATGAGAGATTGATGAGTAGATGGATGAGTGTAGTACAAGGTGCCAGTAGCAGAGACAACGATGGTGCAGTTGAAGGCGTTAGTGGAGATGATAAGGAAGGGTGTCAGGCACGGGGAGGTGTCTCCATAGTTGGGCGGCTCGCAAGCGTTGTAAATGAGCACCTCTACAGGGCCGAGTGAGAGAACCCCCCCCCCCCTCGAAGGCCTTGTGCATGGAGCGTGCGTCAGCGCAGACGACAAGGAGCACGAACACCTTGCGTTGTTGCCTCTTGGGTGATCTCCTGAGGAGATTCTGATGGTGAGATCGATCTTGCCGTTGTTGTTCTCTTGGGTGAGAGGAGGGAGGCTGCGAGGGAGAAAGAGGAGGATGAGGATGTGCTCAAAGCAGTCATGTCATTGCGATCATCATCGCTGGTTCGCACTACTGCTCCTCATCCCCACTCTGCATCATTGCGGTTTCACGCTGCCGCTCCACTTCACGGCTCCGCATTGCCGGTCTCTCATCGTTGGTCTGCGCCACCGCGCCTTGTCCCCACTCCGTGTCAGCGTACTTCATCCTTACTCTGCACCACCTCTCCTTGTCACTGCTAGGGGTGGTCGTTTGGTTTTTTTGGTTTTATCGGCTCAGTTTTATCAGTTTTGTAGAAGTTCGGTTTCCACGGAATGACAACCGAAGAGCATACAAATAAAATAAAAACCGAGGAAAAAAATACCGAACAAAATCGATTCGATTTATTCGGAGTACGGTTTTTACCGAAGAAACTAACGCTCTCGATCTCCAGTTCTCTCAGTGCGCATCACACGAAGCGAGGCATGGGCCCATGCCATGCATCCATCATGTACAGACCAGGAATGTTGTGGGCTTCACAGCCCATGTGTAAAAGAACAAAGCGCGATGGCCAAACTCCAAAAGGAGCCAGGTTCGCTCAGACCACTCATGCGAGCATGAGGACTACGGTTTATTCGGTGAGATCGGTTCGGAGCAAGTAGAAACCGAAGAATAAACTGATCACCAATCTAGATCAAAATCAAAACCACGCCACAAGCCGAACATCCAAAAAAACCGTCACTTCGGTTCGGTTCGGTAGTTGGTTTTCGGGAAATTTATGTCCACCCCTAGTCACTGCTCCTTGTCACCGCTCCTGGTTGCCACTCCGCGCCCTACCCCCTACGACCACATCGGGTTGCCACCACGGTCGTCACCTGCTGCTGTTTGTCGCCGTGCATTTCTCAACCTTGAACCGTCCTAGCTGCCACCCCCTGTTGGCTCCGAGAAAACATGGGGGAGATATAGAGAGTGGGGTAGAGAGGAAGAAGAGAGAGGGCAGTATGACATTCGGGCCTCATTTTATTTCACTATTAATTTTTTGTGTCCAGGCTGCCACATAAGGACGGACATGGTCCAAGTATACCCATTGGTCTCGTAGGCCCATCCCACGAATTTAGCATCAATGGGTAGGTGGGTCAGGCCACGATTGATCGGAGAATATGAGGTCGTTTACTATCTCCTTGACTTTTTTTCGGTAGTAGAATTATGAAAGTGTAGCAAAAGCAAATTCAGATTTCAGAACAGGAACAAAAAGCTTCAAATCAAAATTATGAAAGTCCAGGGACTTGGCTCTACTTGATGTTTGCACTAGGACATGATAGAGATCAATTCCTAACTTATCACAGGACAAGATGAATACAGCAAGAACTAGAGGGTTATAAGGAGAGAATACTCACTTCATCATTCTAGAATTGCTGAATTGGAGGAGGAGGTGAGGCGATACCCGCAAAATGAAAATAAACCGTGCAAGGAAATTCAAAATGAGATGAATTACCTGGCACGATAAACTATACCATATAAAATCTTCCAAATAAAGTACTAAACATCTCAGATCAGTAGTGCCATTTGATATAAGCCGATGCGACTCTAAAGAAGAATTAGTCTCCTCCAACCTGGCCGAGGGGTTGATGGACCCAACCCCTCGGCCCCTACCTATGACACTACATCCCTCCTTTCGAGCAGCTCACCCTCGATCCGCAGTACTAACCAGCTGAAATAACTAACTTGATCTAAGCTAGATTTATCCACCTCTTAATCCTATCCTATCACCTAACCCACTGTATTGTTCACTCGCCAAGGGTTGGGTCCATGGGCCTCGACCCCTCGGCCCCTACCTATGACAAAGAGGGGGACTTAGGTTGGAGGAGACTAATTCTGATTTATTGCTTAATTCCAACTATTACAATCCTATTCCTTACATAGAGATGGTATGACCCTAAAATAACTAACTTGATATAATCTATATTTATCTATCACTTAATCCTATCCTATCACCTAACCAGCTGCTACAGTACTGTCGGTACTGTTCACTAGCCAGGGGTTGGGTATAGATGGCCAAAAGGCCCGAGGCCCGACGGCCCGGCCCACGGCACAGCATTTTGGCCCGACCCAAGCACGGCATGGCCCGACAGGGGTCGGGCCCGTGCCGGCCCGGCCCGACCACCGGGCCGTGCCTGGGCCCCTCCACCGGTACGTTTATTTTGCACAAAAGCGAATACAAAAGTGCAAGCGAATAAATACTTTTCAGGATTGATCATCTCGAGTCGAGGATGAAAATCCCATAATAAATAAGTCTTAAGCAAACTTGCTTATTTCCTTTTATCGAACTATATTTCATTATTTTCATTCATATGATATTCTCTTTTTTAACCATATTTCATTTATATTTCATTCATATGATATTCTCCTTTTTAACTATATTTCATTCATATGATAGAATATGGGTTTAAATAAATTGTGGAGTCTTTCCCGATAAATACTTAATTTCTTTTATTCATATTTCTCCATAGATAGCAAAGGAGGTTCGCATTAGTATAAAAAAACTAAACTAATGATTATTCATGATTCCATCCATATTGGATCAATTGGCCTATAACACTTTGCAATGAAATTAGAGGAATGTTATGTTAAAACTTCCTTAAAGTGTAAACGAATTAACGAGAGAGTGCTACGGTTGCTTCATCCAATATTTTGCTTTGCTTTGTTTGCCCCTTTCCTTCGTACATGCACTGCTAAGTTGCTGCTCCTTGCATGCGCTATGCTTGCCGGTATGCTCCTACGGCATTGCAATGCCATTGTTTGCTTGCGCGCTCTCTCTCATATGAATTTACTTTTTCACATGCTTTAAACTATTTTTTTTCCTAAAATACATATCCGATTTATGATTTGATTATACTATTATATTCTTCATAATTAAATATTCATAATAAGATCTCACATGGTTATATTTTGGTACATATATATGTATGTGTTTTTTCAAAAAGTCCACTACCATTGTTTCACTACTTATAAAAATTTGTTTCATCGTTTATACAAAATAGTTTCAACTCACCTTATAAAATGTTTAAGAAGAATGCAACTTATAAAAAATACCGACTACAACAATCATAATCATTACACGAGACATTAAATATCAATGAGCGAAACATAAAAAAAAATCATAGAAGAATAACAAGCATGTATATGTTTGACAATGTTGCATGTTTTATGCTTTTTTATGCAATGAATATTGTTTTAGTGTTTCATGCCTAAGTATTTTAGTATTTTATGATGTTTCATTATTTAATTTGTGAATGTTGCATGTGATGTTCATTGAATGTTCCAGCAAATACACCATGGGTAACATTTAGTCATTTACAAAATATAATAGTGAAACATTAGAAAATACCTATTGAAACATCTAAATAATATTATCTGCAATATTCCATAAAGATCCATTGCAACAAAAAATTCAAAAATTTGCAACAAAGTGAAATGCTAATTGGAACATTCATTTCTGACACACGGAACATTTAATTTGAACCGATGAAACATATATTTATTTTTTCATTGGAATATAATTGTGTGATTTATCTTGTTTTAAAGATTTAATTGCCATGAACATAGTGGTGGTTCAATTGGATCGTAAATCGGATAAATAATTTAGGAGTAAATTCTTTTTGAAAACCAAATCTATAGTTATTTGCATGTATATGTATGCATGTAGCCATGAAGGAGTGGGAACATAAGTGTCCGATGGTAGCTATTTGTATACGACGTTCGGCGCCAAGTATTTTCCTAATATATAGGGTACACAAACTGTCTTAATGAATTAATGTGTGGTTGTTTTTTTCTTGTGCTCCCTGTATTGGATATGCTATGCGATCTCGATCTATTAGTGCAGACTTTATTAATGCGTAGTATGTCTCTCAACTCTCAACCGGAGGAGGAAGCAAAGCTAGCTTAGCCAGTGAACAATGGCAGGTGACGGATGGGTGATGGACATCATTTGGCACACGCTGTTGCTCGGCGGCGACGCCATGGGCGGCATTTGGAGCAGCTGGTCGACGGAGATCCTGCTCGGCCTCAGCTTCGTGGCGCAGCTGGTGCTCACCGTCACCGCCGGGTTCCGGTGGCGCGGCGCCGGCAGCAGGATGCGCTGCGTCATCTGGTTCTCCTACGTCAGCGCCGACTACGTGGCCACCACCGCCCTTGGCAACCTCTCCATCAGCCGCACGGCCGGCAGCCGCCGCCTCGCCGCGTTCTGGGCGCCCTTCTTCCTGCTCCACCTCGGCGGGCCCGACAGCGTCACCGCCTACGAGCTCGAGGACAACCAGCTGTCGGCGCGGCACGTGCTCGAGCTCATCCTCCGCGTCGCCGGAGCAGTGTACATCGTCTACAAGTCCACCTCCGGCAGCTGGGCCTTGATCCCGGCGTCCTGGCTGATGCTCTTCGTCGGCGTGGCCAAGTACGCCGAGAAGACGATGGCGCTCCGCCGCGCCAACCTGGCCAACGTCCGGAGAACCGTAGAGAGGGAGCGGCGGCTGCAGCGCCGCCGCAGCCGCACTACGAAGGCGAACCTCTCTTTTGCCGGCGACGATGACGAAGGTGGCCTGTTGATGAAGGCTCACACCCTGTTCCCCATCTGCAAGAACTCCATGGTGGACTCGTCGGTGGAGACGGCGTCCAACACCGACGACGCTGCTATAGTTCACGCAAAGGAAACCCTCTTCAGGGAAGAGAACTACAAGAATGTGTTCAGGGTGATGGAGATGGAGCTCTCGCTCATGTACGACTTCCTCTACACCAAGGCCGCCGTCATCCACACCTGGCACGGCTACGCCATCCGCGCCGTGTCGCCGGTGTTCACCGCCGTCTCGCTGGTCCTCGTCGAGCTCAGCAACGTCGCCGGCCACCACCGGCGATCCGACGTCGTCATCACCCGCGTCCTGCTGGTGGCCACCTTCCTCCTCGAGACGTTGTCGCTGCTCAGGGCCCTTGCCTCGTCATGGACCGGCTTCTGGCTGGACCGCGAGCTCCGACCAGTTTGGGGTTGTGGTTGGATTCGCCATGAAGTTCTATGCAGAAGCCGGTGGACCTGGTTGCGTCGTCAGGTGGCCTCCATCGGCCGTCTCGCCGGCGCCAAAGATCACCGGAGATGGTGCGGCAAGATGGGGCAACTCAGCGTGTTGCAGCTCATCATCACCGGCAGCGCCAGCGAGCAGGAGGATCGATCTTGGGACAAGGAATGTGAGACATACTCCAAGGAGAAGACCATCGTGGTCCCACAAGACGTGAAGGAGCTGTTCTTCCGGAGATTGTTGGGGCAGTTAATCGACCTGAGGAAGAGGATGAAGGCGGACACAGGTACGGAGACGGAGCTAAGGACTATGGTGGCCAACATGAGGTCGAAGAGGGGCCAGCTGACGCTGCAGAATTATGATTTGTGGAACCAACTCCGGTGGAGCCTCGGCGACGAGCTCCAGCTGGGCATCCTCACATGGCACATCGCCACGGACATCTACCTCTCCCAGTCCGTCAAAGCCATCGTCGCCGCCGTGGAAGATGATGCCGTCCTAGCTCGATGGCTGATGGGTATCAGAACGCTGTCCAACTACATGATGCACCTCCTTGCCGTGCGCCCCGACATGCTTCCGGGCCTCGTCACCCGCAAGCTGTTCGAGCTCACCTGCGACGATCTGGCCCGGGTTTGGTCCAAACATCAAACGTCGACATCGGTTGGTGCCGCCGGTGGCGACGACCTAGAGTCATCTTCTTCCTCGCCAAGAAATATCTGCCGGCTACGCGATCTGTGGCGAGTTTCTCCAAAGACGATCGAGCAACAGAACAAACTTGCTGGGATGCTTATCAAACAATGGGAATGGGACAGAAAACAAGAGTCCGGCGCCGTTGAACTAAACAAATATCTCTCGCGCGGGATCGAGCTCGCCAAGAAATTGCTCCACCTAGAGGTGTCACGTAAAGACATCGACAAGGTTCTGCAGGTGATCCTGGAGGTGTGGGTGGAAATGCTCTTCTACGCGGGCTACCGGTGCAGCAAGGAGTCGCACGCCAAGCAGCTGAGCCAGGGCGGCGAGCTCACCACCATCGTGTGGCTCATGGCAGAACACGTCGGCCTGTTCCTTGTCAACAAAACCAGCAAGGGAGCTGAAGAAGATTACTGGAACACCAGGAAAAGACGCTACAGCCGGCAGCCAGCCAGCCAGAACGTCTGATAGATGCTTCAAACTAGTAGTACTAACTTGCTTTGCCATTATTTGCTCGTACTGTCCTTGTTTGGTTGTAGCAAGCGATACTTTATGGAATTGTAAGTTTCATACCACAACAGGTATATATCAAATTATATCTTTCAAAGGTCTTATCTTTTTCTTAGGCTTATGTTTATATATACTTATTAGCTAAAATTTAAATTTTCAATCTTAAATTTAGAGCTAATTTTGAGGGGTTTTTTTCGGTCGAAGTTTATTTTTTATCATTTGCTTTTAGATCGATAAAAAAAGTTATATTCATAAATTATTTTCGTTTGTAAATAAGCTGTTTGGTTTATTCCACGAATAAGCGAAGCAATGAGGCCGAAATGTACGTGCTGCAATAGTTTCCATGCATGGGTTGTAAATAAAATCCTGCTCATAACATAAGGTAATTGCCAATTACCTGAATATTATATATCACTCGCATCCATTTTTATGTATAGTAAGCCATTTTGGCTGTCAGTTCGCGCAAAAATAGTCATGGGAATCATGGACAAAACACCATATGGTATATAATAATCATGATAGTACACTTCAAAAGGTGCCAGCTTGTCATACTTTAAAGAGAAGATTCCTCTACCGCTTCAAGAAAGAGAAACTGGATGCCCGCTACAAAACTATTGAGGTACAGAATCATATCATGCAAACATGCAAGTGTTTCACATGATCATCCAATAATAATTATTATCTAGAGTATTTTAGATCGCATACAAACGTGCTACATCATCACACACTAACAATTATTATCTAGATATCACGCAAATATGACATGATTTACGGTTTTCTTATATCTTTATAACTAAATATGCAAGCAATGTCAATCATCATATCCACATTATTTTCATATTATTTAAACATATACATCTACCATTTTATAGTGTATAATGTACATGAATTCATCCATATATCCCGCAACACAGCGTGGGGTATCAACTAGTTTAAAGGGAAACACGACCAATTTTCTCCTTTAAAGTTTCAGCTAACGGTCTTCATGTTTAACATGTTGTTCGAATGGGTCGCCTAACTTTGCCCTTTGTTTAAATGTTCGAATGGGTCGTCTAAAACGCCAACATTGGCATGTGAAGTCAACAAAAATGACCGTCCTTTCATGGTGGCAAAATTATGTATAAAAATATAGTGTAAAGTGCACGATCGTTTTCTAAACTTTCCCGCATGCATCATCTAGGTCCACATACTCTAAAATGCTGATTTAGGACTCAAAACTTGTTCATCTATATATTTTGGTCCAAAATTGCCATGACCCCTCCATGATACTAGTGCTAGTGTTGACGGTCGTTAAGTATAAACTTTAACCGTGAATTCCTGCATAAGAAAACATTAAATATAATATCAAAACTTAGTGGTAGGAATTTACTATTAATCACTTCCACTAGTTTTGATAAACATATGTATGCAGGTTATTTAAGGAGAAAATACACCCGACATGCGACGAAAATAAACCTCCGATCAATCATGCGTGATTACAAGGATTGGAGCATCCACAAGTCAGTCGAAACCGACTTAAAATGGTGCCAAACCATCCTCACCGCCATAAGGACCCAACCGTCGTATGAAGGCTTTAAAAGGAGGAACTCATACACACTTCAACACACAAAAATTTGAACTCAAGTAGAGTACAATTCACTTGTAGTTTCATATTTAGCATGTTAGTTCGATAGAGAACGAGAGGAAGCTTCAGAAGGAGTGCCCCGAAATATCGGAGTTTCTCTAAGAATTTTATGGAGGAGTGAGTGTCGGCATTTTTCCAGCGGAGTTCCGGAGAAAGCCAGGATTGTCGGTCTTCTTCTCTCGCTTGCACCTTGACGGATGCTTACTTCATCAAAGTAATTAAGTGTTCGAGTTTCAATAAAATGTGTATTTTATTGTGCATTGCCTAATGGATACAAAATCTAATGGGCCTTGGCTGAAAAAAATTAACTAAAAGACTAAGAAATTGGTGGTTGTTGGTATTGCTGCTTCCTTATGGTCAATCTGGGAAATTAGAAATAAAGCCTGTTTTGAGAATAGTCTACCTAATAACCCTGTGGATGTGATATTTCAAGTATCTCACTATATATCTGATTGGGCAATTTTTCAGAACAAGGAGGAAGAAACAAGAAGGCTGCAGAAGGGGGGCAGACTGCTAAAGTGAGTGGCAAGTGAAGTCTACGGTAGCAGACATGGCTGGGGCTTGAGGGCAAGGGGACTAGAACGAAAAGGAAGCTGTTCCACTGAAGTATTATGAATCAACTGACTGTTGTCCTTTGTTACTGTGTGTAACCCTGGGACATGTATGTTGTCTCGTAAACAAGAATGTTCAAAATGTTTCTGTAGCTAGTCTGAACTTTGCCACCACAACCCTGGTGTGCAATCTCGTTTTGCTTCTCCTGATTAGCTAGCCTTTCTTCCCAACCATGGTGAGATGGTACCTGGCGAGGGAATGAAAGTAGATCAACCGCTGGAACCTTGTTTTTGTAATCCTGTCATTTCTTCTAAATGGAAATGGGGGGAGCTGAAGCTCTCATAGTAAAAAACAAAATCGAACCAACTAATCCTATAATACTATATAAGTGATCCCCACTTAGTGTAGTTATTAGGATTTTCCTGAGTTCTGGTGAAGCCACGTCACTCTTTTAATCCCAGCCGTTCGATCAAATGCTCTCAACGGTTCGATGTGTTCCATCCCACAGCGCCTTTTGCCTCCCTCCTCCACCGAGCGCATCCTCCGGCCGCCGCCGACGCCAGGCGCGCTCCACTCCCCCATTGCGTGTGACTTCTCCCCTCCCCACCAGCCCGCGCGACGCGCTCGCTTCCTCTCCCCATCGCGCGCGCTGTTTCTTCCCTCCCCACCCGCCCGCGCGCGCGCCAGGCGCGGGCCCGCCGCAGGCTGCGCTCGCCTCTCCTCACATCCCCAGCGCGAGCCAGCCGCGGGACCGCCATCCTCGCCGCGCTGCTCTCGCTCCGCGGCCGCATCACCTCCCCACTCCAAATTTGCAGCCAGGCCCACATGGCCCGTCCCTCCCTCTCCCGCGATGTGCGAGGCCGCGGCGGCAAGCCAAACGACGGATCCCCTTCCTCTTCCATCTCTCCGTCCACTTCTGTAAAAGCACATGCCTTCTCTTCACCTGTTCGACTTCAGGGTAGGATCTCTAACGATTGAATGTTGCCGTTTTAATTTAGGACTTTACCAGGTCTCTTGAATTCCTATTGAATTTTCATGCGTCGTAGCTGCCCATATATATATGCTCACAGTTTACAGCAAGCATGGGATACCATGCAGTAGCCAGAGGAGGTCATGGCCTGAAAGCATTGGAATCTCTTGCAACTGCCAGCTCTCATTGTGCTGGTTGCAGTTCTTGATACTCGGATGTTGTGCTTTTTCTTGATTGATTTTTACACCACCACGCTGCCATTATGTTTGCTGCTTTGATATTCTGTTGTTCATCCAGTAGGTCGTCTAGGTAACTCCTTTCTTTCACCTATCTACATTCTATTTTCACTTGGCCATATCTCAATTTATTTGGTTTGTGATTTTTTTTCAAGGGTACAGATAGTTTCATTGAGCAGTACTTGATTCGTTAGTTTTTATATCACATTATGTGCGTGTTCTAATATATACTATAAATCTCTAATATCTTTTTGTTTTCCAGAAAAATGTTATCGGAAGCTATTGTCTTCATAACTTCGTCTATGATGTTGCCTGCGCATAATCTGATTGGTACTACATGCTTAACAGTTGCTCAAGATAATGCCTGGAACAAAATCACAGTTTGTTTGGCCGAATTTTTTCTCAGACATCTCTGCAATATCTGGCTTTCCTTTGTGCCCAACATCTATTTCCTCGCTGATACCAATTGCAAGAACAAGTTTTAAATTTCCAGCAAGTAAATGTCTTTGCAGGCGTTCTCTGCATCTCATATATATTTTTTTTATACATTTCTAACTACATGATGTGTTTTTTCTATTTGTGCAGGTGGTCATATGTAACCACTCCTTTCCAATTAACTGCAAAATGTTGAGTTCATTCTGAGATCTAATAGGCAGAGCTCAATAAATTCGTGGAGTGTATGATTATGTTGTCAGACTGTTTCCTATTCTCATTGGGGTATTATTTCAGTGTAAGCATATGACATCTCCCCATTGCCCATTCATAGATCTATAATAGTAATATGTATACCAGATTGCATCAAGTGAGTTGCTTAAGTTTAAATTAACCATATTGCAGCTCTATTATTTTTATTTTCCTTACCTCTTCAGTTTTGCATGTTGAATTGTTGTGATGGACAGTGGCCGGAGCTTATGTTCATGAGCTATATGAAAATAATTACTCTGTTGAAATGACAACTGGTTTGTTCAAAGATATAGACAATCTATGTACAGAATATTCAAATATGCTACCATATAATGTAATCTATGTTGGCATATTTTAAGTAATGTACAATCCTTCTATTGCTTTTTCAAAGCTATTGATAAAAGTTTGCTTAAGTGTCCGCAGCAACGCGCGGGGTATCATCTAGTTAAACAAAAAGACCGTCCAAGTCCACGAAAGTGACCGTGCATCCGCCTTAATTTGTACGTATGCTCATCATTCAAACATAATTTTTTTGAAAAGAATCATTCAAACATAATTCATTCTTAGGTAGCTCTGGACTAGTAATATAATAAACATGGATATATGTTTACAGAAGAGCAACGCCGACAACAATTTGGCCGGGGCTGTCCTCCCTGCAGAGTGCAGAGTACATAGTACTAATGTATGACGTCGTTGACTTTTTAACCAACGTTTTGACCTTTCGTCTTATTTAAAAAATTTATGTAATTATAATTTATTTTATTGTGACTTGATTTATCATCAAATGTTCTTTAAGTATAACATAAGTATTTTTATATTTGCATAAAAATTTTAAATAAGACGAGTGGTAAAAAACGTTTAAAAAGTCAACAGCGTCATACATTAAAATACGGAGGGAGGGAGTATGTTGATACGTGGCTTTCATTTATAGCATGTGAAATGGGAAGATATGAGGCGCTGTGTGTAGTCTGTACAAGTGATAACCGGGTCAAAACTCCATGTCCGGCATCAACACACAGTATCTATATATGTCCGTGCAGATACGAGATGGGGAAAATGCTAGCTAGCTGAGTATATATCCGTGGTATGCTGCCTGCCAATTCCTGTTAATTTCCTTGTGCGTGGATCGAAAACCATATGTATAATCGTGCGTCAATTTTTTTTTAGCTTTTGTAGGTAAATTTTAAATTGTGGATTGATATATATTATATACCGATTTGTCATGTTATTTTTTAGAAAAAAAATGATGAATTTTAATGGTATATATATGGAAAACGAGTGAAAATCCTCTTGAGAGATGAAAATAGATTTCCTAGTACGATATGATAATGCACTCCGCCGATCGATCGGCCTCACTAGCTGCCACTGCGGTGGCTGAGATATGCCAAATGGCCATCGAGGCCGAGTAGTTAACCCAGCCGCGAGCTCGATCACGATGGGATCGATGCGATGGCAGTGGAAATCATGGTAATTAACCTGGCAAGTGGCAACTCGCCAATGCAACTTGGCTAGTTGGCTGTGATTGTACCGGATGGCTGGCTAGAGGATGGAGCCCGCCGTCCGTACGTTAATTAAAGCGCTTGGGTGTACGGTTAATTACCTAACAAGTTAACACGTTTCGATCAATTAGTGATGCACGTGAGTCGGACCAACCCAACTACTCTCTCCGTTTCAAATATAAGTCGTTTGAGTTTTTTTTTCTAATCAAAGATTTTTAGGTTTGATCAAATTTATAGAATATATATATTAGCAACATCCCAAATTAGTATCATCAAATTTAACATTGAACATATTTAGAAAATGTGTTTGTTTAGTATTGGAGACATTACTATATTATTGTACAAATTCGGTCAAACATCAAACAACTTATCTCTACTATGATAAAAATTGAAGATGTTTTTTTATGTAAATTGAAGATGTTTTTGTCGGTACTTTGGTAAGGCATTCGTGTTTGAGTCGGTTTTTAAATTCATTCGCTTTTGGAATTATGGATTTACTAAAAAAAATACCCATGCGTTGCAATGGATGAATCAAAAAATAGTAATTAGTGAGTGGGAGCATAAAACCACCAGGTTAATTGAGGTCTATATAGTCAAATCAAATCTTTCCCGTGCAAATAAGACGCTAACATGGTAATTATTTGCTGCTCTAAATCCACGGACATGGATACTAAAGTTTGAAACCACAAAAATTATTTACTTTTTTTTTGTCATGTATTATTATGAGTCAGTTGCAATACATGAGTGTTTTTTGGTACTCGGTATTGATAAACCCTTTTTTTTCATATTGTAAAGAGTAGCCATAGTACAAGAAATATTTTTTGCTAGCTATCAGATCAACCTCATTGCACGCCAATTGCATAGTCGCTCGCTCAAAAGTTCAGATGGAAATGGTACAATCAATGAAAAGAAAAAAAAAGTGGTGCATCGCTGAATAACTTTCACTCTAAACAATATAATAAATCATACAATGAATGAAAAAAAGTGATGTGATTAGATATCCTATGGCGAATGAGAAATTGATGAGGGAAAAAAATTCGGATGTAAACACGATTCATTTTTTTTGGTGATTACATGTTTTTTTAAAGAAAGACACATGTGATTTTTTTTTATTTTTTAAAAATAATTTATTTTGTCGGTAAATAGTTCATTTCGTGGTGATACATGTTTTTAAGTAATAAAATTGCCTCTTTTTTTTATCCGATACCTAGTAGGAGTGAGTCCAAACTTTATTTCCTACAGTGTTGCACAGTACTGGGCTGTGCTGCAGCTCCTCTGCTCCGTGGGCTCGCTGGTGGGCTGCGACTGCTTTTTTTCTGGGCCGGCCTACTGCTTCGTTGGATGGGCTGTAATATTTCGCCACTAATCCACAAATCCGGGCTGCTTTGGATGGGCTGCTCCACGAATATGTGGCTCTCTCTCTTTTTTTTTCTCTTTTATTTGCGAGCGTAAGAGATCGCTGTCACGCTTCCGAATCGTGGATTAACAACGAAATATCGTGTTGGCCCACGCTTAATGACGTACGAAAATATTTACGGAAGCCTTACTTATTTTTTAATTTTTATAAGTAGGTATTGATTGATATCTGAGTGGGTTTTTTAATTAGTTTGCTTTAGAAAATAGAGGTGTCGTATAAGAAATCACTTTAAAAAACTCACATTCTGACTTGAGACGATCGGACTTCTAATTATAGCTCATGATCTTGTAAAAACAATATCAAGCAAATTCCTACAGTAAATTTCACTTTAACTAAACCGTATAACAATAATAAGATTAATATAAGCTTTAGCCATGGCTATGTTTGATAATACCACTCCCATATGGAGCAAGTGCACTGCGTACTAGCGCAGTAGCGCCGCCTGCGTCGTGGTGTCTTACACTTCCGTCCATGTGTAGCGCCTGCACAAGCCACAGCTCCACGATGGACTCAAGAACCGAATTATTTTTAAAATAATACAATTTTAATAGAAAATCGCAAAAATATACTCCCTCCATCTACTTTTGATAGTTATATTTCCAAATCTAAAAAATTTATTTTTGATAGGCATATTTCAATCCAACAACCTATTATCTTAATGTCTTTCTCGGATTTAATGCGTGACTCTCTATTCTTTCACACAAGATTAGCTATATGGGTATCGAGAAATGTAAATATTAATAAATCGCTTGTTTACGAGGAATGACTAATAGAATGTTTAAATGAGATAAGTAGAATTACTTATCCTTGATCTGTGTGCCAAGATAAAATATGACTATCAAAAATAGATAGAAGGAGTATATTGGATTGACGAAATCGTAAGTTTAGCATCCTGTGGTTCGACAGGGCACCTATCGAACAACAGCGGTTCGACAGGGTACCTATCGAACTGGGGCAGTTCGACAGGTGATAAAATAAATTTTAAAAAAGAAAAAACATTGTTGCGTCACTGTGGCATCAACCTATCGAACACTGCCTGTTCCATAAGTCCTATCGTTCTTTCCTTGTTCGATGTCCCTGCTGAGTACTATAGCACATACTTTTTTTTTTTGGACAAACAGGTACCTATCAAACTGCATTTGTTCGACAGGGTACTAAACTTGCGATTTCACCCAACCGACATATATTTTTGTGATCTTCCATTAAAATCGTATTATTTTTAAAAATATTCCTCAAGAACCACCTCACCGTAACGCCGCCATGGCATCCTCTTCGGTGTCCGCCATGCCACTCGACGTGTGCACGCGTAACAAATCTAGCGTGTATGTGCTAATTAGTCTTTTCGGTTTTTGAGATTACTTTTACACCGATTTTTTAGTTAAGAGACAAAATTGAAACTTAAACCTTAGATGAGGGACGAAGAATAGGCTTTTTCCAGCATCCCAAAAATCATATTTCTTTAAGCTTTATTTATTTGGACAGGCCTCAATCTGGCCCAAATATTTTCTACCTGGACGGCCTTGATTAAGGCCCAAGCAAAGCAATCCGATATGATCAACATTCTCAGAAAAAAAAAAAAGAAATCAGATCAGTAATCTGCGTACGCTCCTATCGCCTAACCCTATAACGTAATATTCGAGAAATCGTTCCGGCGATGCGCGCGCCGCCGCCGTCGCCGGCGGTGGCGAGGACAGGATTCTCCGACCTCCAGCCAGACCTGGTGGGCGAGATCCATGGCCGCCTCAGCTTCCTCGACCGCCTAGCCTTCGTGGCGGTCTCCTCCGCCGCGTCACGCGACGCGTTGAAGCCGGAGCCGCCGTGGCTGGTCCTCCCGGGCGAGACTCCGGAGACCGCCACGGTCTTCTCCCTCGCCGACCGCCGCTCCGCCACCGTGCGCGCCTCGGGACCCGCGATGCGCGGCCACGTCATCATCGGCTCCTTCGGCGGCTGGATCGTGACCGCCGACGAGCGTGGGCGGATGCGCCTCGCCAACCCCGTCACCGGCGATCAGGGCGACCTCCCGGCCATCACCACCATCCCCTTCGTCAACGCCACCTCGCCGTGGGGTCACCATTTCATCATGGACATGGAACCCTTCGTCCACATCCGGTACAGAGGCGACCACGAGTCGTGGCCGCACCCGTACGGCACGTTCACACACACCGCCGGCGACATCCGCCTCTGGTTCTACCGCAAGGTCGTCCTCTCCGCCTCGCCGCGCCCCGGCGACTACGCCGCCATGCTCCTCTTGGACAGCTACTTCGGCGCGCCGGCGTTCGCCACGGCGGGGGACGGCCGGTGGAGGGTCGCGCCCTCGCGCGACGGCGTCGAGGACGCGATCCACCACGGGGGCAAGTTCTTGTCCGTCACGTACACCGGCATCGTGGAGGCGTGGGAACGCGACGGTGTCTCCGGCGAGTTCACCGGCAAGGTGGTGACCACGCCGATCTCATGCCCCCCGCAGCGCCGCAAGTACCTGGCGGCGGCGCCGGACGGGCGGCTGATGATCGTGCTCAAGAACACCAATGGCGGCGTCAAGAAAGGCTACTTCGAGGTGCAGGTGTTCGACGAAATGACGCAACGGTGGGAGGCGGCGGAGGACATCGGCGAGCTCGCTATCCTCGTCGGCGTGAACAGCTCGGTGTGCGTGTCGACGGCGAAACACCCGGAGCTCAAGGGCGGATGCGTGTACTACACTGACGACGAGATCGGGAAGGCATGGCTGCGGAGAGAGTACGGGTACAGCAACAGCAAGCCGAACGTGGGGGTGTACAGCCTCAAAGACGGCAAGGAGATGAGCATCCCGGGGCTCGGCGAGCACCTCAGCTGGCCGCCGCCGGCGTGGTTCACGCCTTCCTTCCGGTGATGATATATAGTTAGTTCTTGGCCTCTTCATGGTCTTCTACATACATAATGTTTACATCTTCAGCTTTGCTTTTAGAGTGAACTTGCGCAGATCAACAGGCCAGGACAATAACTCATGAGGTTTAGTGGCTATCATATACGGAGTCATTTAGTAATTTGGTCTACTTGAAACTTCAACCATATGTGCAGATGTCAGTCGCAAAACGGTCTTGTCAGAAACTCAGTTTTCGCTATTTTGGGCCTTACAAGATTCTGGGTCGCGTTGGAGCAGTGGACTATCGTTTGGAGTTGCCTCAGGGCAGTCTTATTCACCCTGTGGTGCATGTTTCACTACTCAAGAAGGCGATTAGGCCAGGTATTCCAGTGTGCTCTGACTTGCCAGCCAGAAGTTGTGCTCCGTCGTCAGCTGATCAAGAGGGGTGGTGCAGCTGTGCCGTATGGGCTAATACGCTGGACCAATCTACCTGACGATTTGGCGACATGGAAGAACCTACGACAACGGTTTCCTCAAGCACCAGCCTGGGGACATACTGGTTGTTAAGGAGGGGGGGAATGTCACGCTGCTGATTCTGTTGTAGTTCTCTGTGATCTATTTTAGACTTCGATTGTTGCCATTGGGCCGTGAGCTATTGGGCCTCGAGTATGAGGCCTTGTAAGCGTTGTGAGGCGCGGCTATAGGAAAAAAGTACACCGAAGGTCCCTCAACTTGTCATCCAGTTACAAAATCGTCCTTGAACCGCAAAATCGAATATATGTCATCCTCAATTTATAAAACCGGATCACCTTGGGACCTCAGGCGGTTTATACCCTGGTTTTATCCGATGTGGCAGTTGAGTAAACGTGGGACCCATATGTCAGGGTGACACGTCATCACCTCACTTTTCCTGTCTTGTCTCCCTTCCTACTCTCTCTCAGTCTTCTCTAGGCCGGTAGGGCGGGGCGAGGCGGGGTGCGTCGAGGCCGGCTGGAGCAGCAGGACACGCCCGGCGTGCTCAGCGTCTTCAGGGAGCTCAACCCCAATGAGATGCTGGCCAGGAACACACCCAAGGTACATAGCTGCATCCATTAATTGCTGTTGCTGTTGCTGGATAATGAGGAGGATGATGGGATTAATGGAGTTTGTGAGGTGCAGTTCTTGGTGGAGAGGAAAGAGGGGGGGGGGGGGGGGGGGGACGGGTGGAGATGTACTGCGCGGCGAAGCCAGGTCTGCTTCTGTCGACGGTGAGCACGCTGGAGACGCTGGGAAGTGGTGGTAGCAGCAGCAGATCGAGCAGAAAGAAAGAGAGAGAGAGAGATTCAGAGTTCGGTGTTGTTGAGTAGGGCAGGAGAGGAAAAGTTCAGACCCGACGACGACGACGACGCGCCGGGGTGACCACCGGGAAGTACTGGATGGGCTTCTTCCTCGCCCTCAGCGCCGCCGCTCTGTACAGGCTCATCCTGTCGCTCGTCGAGCTCGCCTACAAGAACGCCGCCGCCGGCGGCCGCGCCGTCACGTATGCGCTAGCGATGGAGATGCAGCTGGTCAAGGGCTTCTTCGCCACCGCGTTCTGCACCGTCGGCATGGTCATGTGCTCGGAGAGGAGAAGGTCCGCCTGCTGGCTCGCCCGCCGCCTCTCTGCTCCACTCCACCTGTTGCCGCTCGCTCGCCTGCCGCCGCCGGCACTCCGCTCCACCGCGCGCTCGCCAGCTGCAGCTTCCGGTTGGGTCGGAAGGTAACATCCAATAGATCAACTCAGACTTGGTTAGGATGGGCTCAGCCCGAGGTCGTCAGGCAATGATGGGTCATGTTGGGCTTGTTTAGCCCTGCCGTTTTGAGGCAACGATGGGCCGGGCCTCTCTTTTAAAAGGAAGAGCTTTCTCCATTTCCAGTCCAATTGAGAGAAGTGGTGGATATGGTATTCCCTACGTGGCTACGTCACACTTCAGCATCCACGAATTATCAAATTTATTATGACCCGGAAACTTGTTTTTTTTAGAATTACACAGTACACGCAGACACTCACAACGCACGCGCACTCACCCCTATGAACACACGCACGCAAACCCTACCCCTATGAGCATCTTCGAAGACTGGGCCGGCAAATCCTAGAGAGATTGACGAAGTCACCACAGGCGCCTCGCTGTCGACGGTTACGTCGCCTACCACTGAAAACACAACGCCGTTAAATCTTGGAAAATTCGCTCCCATGGAGAGTCGAACCCAGGACCTCAGGTGCTACTGAGGCTCTTGTAACCACTAGGCTACAGGCCCTTTCGCGACCCGGAAACTTGAATAAGACAAACGGTTAAACATATGCTTAAAACGTCAACGGTGTCAAATATTTAGAAACGGAGGGAGTGCTATCTCCAAAATATACAATAGAGGGAGTAGTAGAGGTCCATGTATTATACATACTGGAGGTGTACTGGTGCCCGACGAGGAGAAGGCATCGCTTGGATTCAAGGCTGTTTTTGAGAAGGTTTATACGAAGATTGAGTGCAGAAAAAATGAAAAAAAAACATTAACATATAATTAATTGAATTTTAATTATTATTAATTTTAAAATAGATTGTTTTTTATATTTTAAAGCAAAGCAACTTCTATATATAAAAACAACAGAAAACGTGCTAACGAAAACCGATGCAAAATGATCTACATCTTAATAATATAAAAGTATGGGGCCTGCCAATGCATACTGAAATGGAAGGTAAAAAAAATAATCAAAGCTCAGTGGCGCACAATTTCTGTCCTAAATGATCAGGTGAATACACCGGACCCGCCAGCGTTGGCGCATTTCGTCATCGCTTGGCGATGTACTTGCTCCATGCCGGACTATTTAAACCGGTCGGACATAATGTGATTAAGCAGTATGGCACTAAAAACGTAGCGAGTCGAAACAAAGTGAGGCTAGGGGTCCCTAGTAGGGTATAACAACCAATGGCCCTTAGTCCGACCGTTGTGAGGTAGAGCGCTTTTCTACGGATATCCAAAGAAGTTACATTCATGTGGATTTAGTAAAAAACAATTGCCAAGTGATATATAAGTAGTCGCTTTCGATATTTGATTGATTTCAATGTGATAGCCGGCATTGCAGGGGATGCGGCTGTTTTCTGCTGGGAATAAGTTCACCTGAGTTACCTTAACTTATCGACGAATTTGACTTTCATTCTTCAACGGGTCCTTTAACTATATAAAAACCGGTGCAATATAGGTCCAATGGCGGGTTTGGCTGACATGGCGGCTTCACGGCTAATTTGAATCAGTCTTCAGCTGACGTGGCATATGAAGCAAAATTTAACACTTTTAAAAATAAAACAAAATATATGGGCCCACATGTCAGTCAAATAATAAGATTAAAAATAGTGGGACCCACTTCCTCCACCTCATCCCTTCTCTTCTCTATCTCCTCCCCTTCTCCCTCTTCTCTCTATCTCCTCATTTCGCCACTCCGCCACAACTGTAGCAAGCTCTGGTGGCTACTACTCACGCAATGGCCACCGGCGCTGGTGGCCTCCACATTCCTTGCGCTCCCCTCCACCACCGCGGTGTGCCGGTGCCATGACGCGCTTCTCCCACCGCAAGCCGCAGCGGCGTGCGAGCCGGCTCGCGCCAAGCGATCCTCCTCCTTGGCTGGCGCAGCAGGGGAGAGGAGCCGGCGTCGCCGCCTCTCCCCCGCGGCGATGAAGGAGGACAGCGGTGTGACCTGCGGCAGTGGAGGAGAATAGCTGCGTGGACCACGGTGGCGGAGGAGGATGGCGGCGTGGTGCCGGAGACTGGGAGGGTGGTGGAGGTCGCCGGCCATATCACTAGGTTTCATGCGCCTTCTTCTCCATCTTCTCGGTGGCGGTGCTCGCATTCCTTGGCCCGAAGGCAGTGCACGACACGCACTTGCCGACGAGCGCGCTGAAGGAGAAGGGTGGCGGCCGCCGGTCAGCGGGATAAGGGGGGGGTGGCAGCCATTGGGTAGGGAGGCCGGCGAACATGTGCGGAGATGGAGGCTGGGAGGCTGACGAGAGGGATGGGGAGGCCGGCGAGCGTGCGGCCGCGGGCCACGCCACCGTCCTGCCCCGCTGCAGCGGGCCACACCGGCTCCTCTCCCCTGCGGCACCATCCAAGGAGGAGGATCCCTAGCGTGAGCCAGCTCATGCGTCGCAGCAGCTAGCGGTGGAGCAGCGCGTCTGGTTTTGTAGTTAAAGGACGAAAACCCGATTCGTTGACAAGTTAAGGGACCTCAGATGAACTTTTTCCTTTCCACTGACTAATTTAGGTGTGCAACATAACGCCCATCAAAATCTGATGGGCCCAACATTAGGCCCATGTAAATCTTACAGGCTCATTTGGGAGTGCAACTGGAAATAGTCCACTTAAAGTCCCTCAAATAATATAGGTCGGATCTCATCCGCATCCCTCAAATATAAAACTAGGTATATCAACTCTCTTTTAACTATCAAAACCATACAAAATGACTTTCATGAATGTTTTGAGAGCGGTTTTCACTAATGTGGCGTCCACGTGGTAGGCTAGCAGCCCAATCGTTACAAGAATAAAAAAAATGACTCATGTGGACGGCACGCCAGCCAAAACCACCTCTTGAAACAATCAAGGGAATCGTTTTGCACAGTTTTAACAAATAAGGGGTCGATATATTCGGTTTTACAATTGAGAGATATAAATCAATTCCGACCTATGTTTGAGGGAGTCGAATTGGACATTTTCCAAGTGCAATTTAAGGCACATCATAATCTGATGGGCTTAGTTGCTTACTGCTAGCTGCTGCTGAGCTTATCTTGATTGATTACAAGAAGTGCAGATGAAGCCTAACATGATGATGACTGAATTCGCTAAGTTTGTATATAAAAAAAATTCTAAGCAATCACATAAACATATCACAAATATTGCGTATCACAAATATTTTGACAACAAAAGATTAAACTCTCAGCACAGATATAGAAGGTCTATGCAAAATGAGGCTGTGGTGCGGCTGGCTGTATTCACGGAATTTTGAGCGACTAATTTTTCTAGTAGAAACCAACGGGTTCACGCATAATTAAGGCTAATTTAGTTTAGATTATTAAGTATTTTATTGCCATGGATTATTTACGTGATCATAGTAGTTAATTAAAATTTAAGAGTAAATTTCATAAAAACTCACATATTGTGATTCAACTTACATGAAATTACTATGATTTTATAATGTGGCACATAACCTCAGGTATTATATACTAAAGTCTCATAAAACCACACCGCTAACTATTTTAACATACTCCTATATCAAAATTAAAAAGAAACT